AAAGTCAGGGGAGAATGTGGAGAAAGAATGATAGGGAAAGGTTAGCAACTAGTACTAAGTTACACAGAGATGGGTTTAAGAAATTCTGGTGTGCTACTGTACAACAAGGTGAGTTTACATAAACAAGAATGAACTGTATATTTCCAAAGCTAGAAAGATTGTAAAAATGTCCTCACAAATGTTTAAGACTGTCGTTTTAAAACAGATGTAAGTATTGTGAGATGTATAGCTGTTCCAAAACAACATGTAGCAATTTCTTGTGTCAGGTGAAGCTGCTCATGAAGACTTCATGATAATTCAGAGTACAATGATAAATTAGGAGCCCAAGAGACTCTAGTGGACATTTGTTATATAGTATGAAACCTTCATAGTCCTAGAACAACACAGCAAGTATACACAAAGAAACCAGTCCTTTCCTAATCACCTCAAACCCTAACTGACTTTAATACACATTTGGCTGTAGTACCCAATCACTGAGTTACTCTAAAGAAAGGATGGAAGTAGGGTGATTTAGCCTTTGCAGAATATACATTGACATAGACAGGGAATCTAGAGATAGAGCTAAAAATGAAAACTCAGGGACAATTTCATTGTTTTGCAGACAAACTTATAACCAAGTATATAAGAAATTGCAATCATATTTTCAATAAGTTGCAGGTAAGAATCAATCACTTCTACAGGTGCATTTTTTGGCCCCCCCATGATATTTTTGACTCAGTTGCAAACTATTAAAAATCAGAAAAAATATCCATTTTTAGCACATATGTACAAATCTGTGATGGATTTCCAACTATGGAAATGGGAAGAGATAAGCAAATCTCTCAAAATACAAATACAAAATTTGACAATATTCTTCATAACATTCATTAAATACATTGTTTATATAGTATAGATACATATGTGTATTTAATGCATTGTATGTATGTTAAATTCTAGAGGAAAATTTATAGCTTTAGGTTCTCATATTAAATAAATTCTAAGGAATTTATTAGACTATTAGAACTAACCAATAAGTTTAGCAAGGTCCCAGAATATGAAGTAAATAAACCAAACTAATTATATTGCTGTACACTTTCAATGAACAAATTGAATATGAAATTAAGAAAGTAATTTAATTCATAATACCATAAAATATGTTTATGAGCACATTAGACAAAAGAAACAAGGACCACTTAATAGAGAATTAAATATACTATTAAGAAAAACAAAGGTTGATCTAAATAAATGGAAGTTTAGATCACTTTTGATATTGTTAAGATTATTTGGCAACTCAAGGTTTTGTTTGAAGTACAGATGTAAGAGAGAACTGATGGCAGAGAATATATACAACCCAAAAGTGAGGTATTGGATAACAGCCACCTTTAGCTAGGGAAATAATTTTCCGTGTTTCCAGTGTCTGCCACTCTTATTGCATCTTATACTTTTGTCACCTGATTGATCCCAGAGCATCTCTCCACCATCCTAGGGAAGCAGGTATGTAGTTTTGCCACCTTGATATATACATGTCCTCCTAGAGATGTTGTATAAACCAGTAATAATTTATTTAAAAATTAAAATGGTTTTGTTTTCTTTCCGGGGGCTGCAATTAGATGATTTCACTATACAAAGAATAAATTGAAAATTTTAGATACAGTTAGGGAAGTGCGGACCAATGTGTGAGTATGTAGAGACCACACTTTAAAAAGATTATTTTGATGGGTACTAGCATTTAGAAACAATATTTTAAAAATATTTTTTCAGTCTGAAGTTGGTGGCTCATGCCTATAATCCTAGCTACTCAGGAAGCTGAGATCCAAGCATCACAATTTGAAGCCAGCCTGTATCAGAAAGTCTCTGAAATTCTTATCTCCAATTAACCACCAAAAAGATGGAAGTGCAGCTGTGGCTCAAGTGGTGGAGGACGGACTAACCTTGAAAAACAAGTTAAAAAAAATTAAAAATAAACATGGAAATATTTTTTCTGGGTCTCATAAAGATTAAAGAGCTCTGTGGTTTTCTCTTTTTAGATTTGGCTAGATGACTTTGGTGTTATACTAGTGAGGTGGAGAAAGCTGAGGAAAAGTACAAGAGCAGCTGCTAAACTCATTACAGCCAAGTGTAGTTTTGAAAAGCTAAGGGTTTTTTTTCTCCAACTTGTGACGATACAGTTCAATACACATAAATTGTTCTTGTTTGGTACTTTGGCCTCATCAGCATCTACCATTTCAGATACCAAGGGAGAAATGTTCAAACATCCCAAGCTTTACTAAAAAAAATGCAAAGAATCTCACTAGACTCTTAAATGATCACCTTTTCTGTTCTAAATTAGAGTTTTTGGTCCTTAAAGCAGAGTATCCCTCTGCCCATTTAACTTAAGCAAGACTTGATCAAAGGCATTGCAAAGTCTATGGCTCGAACTTATGAGCAGTCTACTGGACCTGCTTCCATCCTTCTGATTTTAGAATTTTAATTGGGCATTTATAATTGCCCACAAAAGTCCCAACCGGTGGAGTAAGGCATGGTCATAGGCACAAGCCACATCCCTGTGGACTCTCTCCCAGGTCGGCCCGGCAGATGTGTTACATTTTGTTTGGCCTTTCAAGTGTTTAAGGAAATTGTTTTCCTGAATTTTAGGCAATGTTTTGCCATCTGGATAACCCACAAAATTCTCCAGATTCTTTTGAAAATCCTGTCCATGTGTAGTACACAATCCTGCTGAGTAAATGCTGCTACTCTTTTTGGGGAGTGGGGAGTTGTATTGAGGCTTGAACTCAGGACCTCGATCTCTTGTTTGGCTTTTTTGATCCAAGGCTGATGCTCTGTCATTTGAGGATACCTCCACTTCCAGCTTTTTGCTGGTCAATTGGAGATAAGAGTTTTACATGGATTTTTCTGCCTAGACTGGTTTTGAACCTGGATCCTCAGTTTTTAGCCTCCTGAGTAGCTAGGAATGAGCCAGGCCCCTTTTACTAGCAGAGCAACTTGTTCACTCTTTGCCATGTCTTTCAGGGGATATTGGAGATATTTGTGGCCTTGCAGATTTGACTAACTTTTCTAGCGGGTGAAGTCCTTTTTGTCTTTCCTTACCCTGGTACAAAGAAAACATTCTTATTTTGTTTCATGAGCTTCAAGGCCACTTTGTGAAGTCTATGTTGAGCTTTTACAAGTTTTGACACTCATTTGACCGATTTCATCAGAGTAAACTTTTGTCCAAACTTTTGTACTTGAATCTGATTTCTGGAAGCAGTCAAAGAAAAAGTTGGAGCCAAGTTTGTGGCAATAAATGTGTGTGGCTGTCAAATAGTGAAATCCTGTTGCTGGTGTGTAATTTGCATGCTGACGCAAAGTCAATAACAGTAAGAAAGTCCGAAAATGCTTTGTTGGCTTTTTCTTCCCTCTACTAATCTTTCATAATATCCTATGATATTTGCATGTGTGATTTAGGTTTTAAGTTTATGTTTTCCTGTTATTTCTATCTTCCACTTTAACTGACTGAGACCACCTGAGGGAAAGATACATTTTTATTCACCTTTGATATAAAGTGCATAGTTGGAAGTCAAAAGATGGAATGACTTATTATTGAGTAAATACATGTGTGAATGAATATTTTAAATGGGCAACCTCCTTTACACCTGCCAAACATCTGTGTAGTTAAAATGAATAGAAAGTCAGTTTTTGTTGGGGTTGTATTAATGTCCTTGTCGGTGAAGTAGTTCGTAGTTATTGTGTTTTCCCCATAGGAAAAACTCTGCCCACGCGTCTGTCTCCTAACTGATGAGTGAGGAAGTGTAGAAGTTGTAGAATCCACAAGGAAACAAACAAAAACAAAACAAAACAATAACAAACTGCGAGAAGCCTGGCGCAGGTGGCTGACACTTACAATCCTAACTAACCACAAAGCTGAAATCTGAGGATAGAAGTTCGAAGCCAGCCTGCCGCAAGAAAGTCTGCGCAACTCACAAGTCACCAATAAGGCAGGAGTGGAGCTGTGGCTCAAGTAGTAGAGCAATAGCCTGGAACAAAAAAACTCAGGGGTATTAGCGAGCTCCCGAATTCAAGCCCTAGTATTGGCACCAAAAAACCCCAAAACAAACAAACAACAACAACTACAACAAATCGAGAACTAGAACTGTTCATGCGATGTTTACAAATAAAGCCTAACAACAGAATTGTTGATACTGTTGACCAAGTAATAGTACCAACCTCAGGAGAGCGCAACAGCGATCCCGGGAAACAGTGATCCTCCCGGCGTTGATACACAGTCTACAATCACAACTAAACAAAAGAAGACAGCAGAACTGACAAAGCCCAGAAACCATACAAAAACGTGGAGAACGAGGCATCTTCGATAGGTGTGTGGGTGCAAGCCTGCGTGTTTTAAGGTTGAATTTCCTCTCAGAAGTAAGTGATGGGTGGCAGGGCTTGGTGAGGGTGCAGTTGGTTGGTTTCCACGTGGTTCGGGCGGCCTCCCCCCACGGGTTCAGTTGCATTTCCACCCAGCTCCACACAGGTCTGTGCCTAGGCTCTGGGCTCCCGCCCCGGAGAGGCCGCGGCCGCCGGGCCGCCGCATCCTTCTCCTCCCGCTCTATTTCGGGGCCCCATGATCTCATGCTCCGAGCAGACCACACTCTGCAATTGCAGGCCAGCCCGCGCCGCAGGCGCTGCAGGGCGATTCCCGCAGGGGTGGGCAGGTTGGTGGCCTGGGCACCGGCAGGGAAGGCAGGGGAGTGGAGGTGGGGGGTGGGGAACGAAGTTAAAGACACGCCCACGCAAAGGACCCAAAATAGCCCACACGCAAGAGTGCCCAAAATCAGACAGGAAGCCAAATAATCCGGGGCGTTGAGTCGCTTGGCCCTCGCTCGGAGCGCAGGACCGAGGGACTCGGGCCAAGGGTCTGACCGCGAGGGGCAGAGGCGTGGCTGGGGGCGTGGCCTTGCGCGGTGTAGGGGGCGTGGCCGGCGCGGAGTCTATTTAAAGGCGCTGCGCCGCGCAGGGACCCGAACGCCGGGGCCGGGGACACTATGGAACGTGATGGGTGCGTGCGGGGCCGGGAAGGCCCGGCGGGGAACGGCCGCGAGCCGAGCCACGGGGCACCTGGAGACCCGCAGGCAGCCGCGTCCTTGCTGGCTCCCCTGGATCTGGGTGAAGAGCCGCTGGAGAAGGTGGCGCGCGCCCGCACCGCCAAGGACCCCAACACCTATAAAGTGCTCTCCCTGGTAGGTCAGGGCGGAGGGCGGGCGGAGGGCGGGGCCGAGCGCGGGCGCGGGGCTCCCCGGCCCGCACGTGCTGCCCTGCAGCCGGGCCGGGCGCTGCGCGCCGCGGCTGCGGCTGCTCTGAGCTCTGGCACTGGTTTCTACCGATGCTGCGGAAGACCCACACCCGACCTACACCTCCGCCTGTGGAAGTCTCAGCTTTTCCCCTCGAAGCTGAGGATCTGGGGTGCAATGACCGCTGCAGGTGGTTGGTGCTGGGCAGGCCAAGCCTCTTTGCCTGGCTCCAGTCCTGGGTGCAGAACTGTGTGGAGACTCTTCTTGGATGAACTTACCTCCGTGGAGAGGTTTCACAGGGCTGTTGTCAGTAGCCGCAGGAACGCTAGAAGAAGGTTTCGTTCTTCTTTCTCTGTTTGGTTCCGTGTAGAAGGCATTTCCTTGCAGCAGAAATGCCACCAGTCTTCACCTTATGTGACTGGAATCCTTGACTCTTTGCCCGCTCTTTTAGCCCTGGGCTACTAGCTCCTGTTAACAGAAATACCTGTTATTCTTCGGGCATTTTGTTATGGCAGTAGCAGGATCCATAGGCAACTTTTTTTTTTTTTTTTCAAAGCCAGGGTGTCTTTTTAATTTGAATTTTCGGTGGACAGAACTGAATATACCAACGTTGAGTTTTCCATGGTTGTTATTAATTAATTAACTCCTGGGGCCTTGGAGAGTTCTCCCCAATCTCGGTTCTTGTCTGTTAACATGAGAACATAAAGCGCTCTTGCACATCACCCAAGATTATTGTGAGGATTGAATGAAGCACTATGTGGGGAAGTAGATGAAAAGATGATATGTTAGTGTAACGTTCAGAAAGCAGGGGCTTCTCATAGATTGTGAGAAATTACAGTTGAGCAGTACTTCCCTGAAGGCTTTCTTTTGAAAATGTTTCCATTTTCGCTATATTGTGAGTGTCATGGAGATATTATAGTACTTTGAGAAACCAAAATTCCTAGACTTGAGAGGCTATCATTGTCTCAGTACTTAAAAATAAATCTAAGGTGCAAAGAATACGTTCCCCAAGCCACAGGATGTTTGCATCCCAAAATATGTTTTTGTATCATATGTCACTCTTACCATATCTGACACTGCGGAGAGTTTAGAGTTTACTCAGTCTTTTGTTAGACTTTAGCCTTTATATCATTGCATATTCTCAGTAGTTTAGCATACTATAAGGCATTCAATAGTTATACTTTGAATTTGTATGAAACTACAATGTAAAAACTACAATGTAAAATATATATATATATAGAAAAATATGTGTTATATATAATATGTATATATCTATTCTCTAAGTCTTGATTAATTTTTGTTAGTAAATGTAATGGTTATGTCTTTTCTACTTACTTACTTGTAGATCCATGATAGGCATAATAGATCTCCTTTTCCATCCTTGACATTTGCTGTAGTTGGCCAAATGACATTATTATAAAGGCCATTTTTTAAATTATTATTCAATGCATTACAGATGACTCTTAAGTTGCAACTCTAGTCATTTAATGTGGAGGTCCTAGGACTTACTTCCTCAAGTAGGACTGATGAATATTTTCCCTACCAGGTGGGATCTTTTTCTGTAACATGTACTGCATTAGAAAGGATTCTTACCTAATTTTTTTTTATTGAATGTAAGTAATCATGAAAATTTGACAGTTGTTATCCAAGAACTCTGGGGACAAGTCTAGTTCTAGAGAAAAGCTTAAATTATGTGACTTTTTCTTCAAATTAAATATTTGCACACTTTTTTTTTGTTGTTGTTGGTCATGGGGCCTGAACTCTGGGACTGGGCGCTGTCTCTCAGCTCTTCAGCACAAGGCTAGTGCTCTACCACTTGAACCACAGTGCCACTTTCGGCTTTTGTCTGTTAATGTGGTGCTGAGGAATCAAACCCAAGGGCTTCATGCATGCAAGGCAAGCACTCTACCACTGAGCCACCTTCCCCGCCCATTTGCACACTTTTTGTAAAGATAAAGAAATAGGTTAGAATGATTTTCTCTTGGGGCTGGGATTAGGGGACACCATCCATTCCTCAATCACATAGTTTTAATCAGGAGGGTTAGCACAGGACTTGCCTTGTGAGGAGTTGATTAAACAATGGTAGTAATGTATCACGGATGGAAGTATTCATAGATAAACAAATAGGATGGATGGAGAAGGTCCTACCCTACTTTTGCTTTGCCCTGGGTGGTGTTTGATCCTGGGGAAAGACCAGGAAGTTTTCCAAAGATTTTAGCCCTGGGCTTTAGAAATGCTTGTGTGCAGGCACTGTGTACAGGCCCTGAGCCAGAGTGAGGAAACAGCAAAGGGTAAAACAAATACTGTTCTCTATAGGCTTCTGTGGGTAAGTTTGTTAGCTTTCCCTTGCTATAATGAAATATGTAGGCAATTCTATTATGAAAAAAAAAAGATTTATCCCATGCTTCTTTCTGGAAGTTTTATTCCAAGATCAGGATCTCATTGCTCTGGGCCTCTGGGGAAAATATCTGATGGCAATGACCAGGAATCTGTGACTGAGCTAACCACTTACTTCATGACAGAGAATGAGGCCATCCATGAACCTTCAGTGGAAAACACACCCTCCACAACCTAAGGACCTTCCATAAGGCTCCTCTTTTAAAAAAGTTGACCATTTTCCAATATTGATGCTCTGGATACTAAGACTTTAACATGTATTTTTGGCAAGGCATTCAGGAGCCAAACTATAACTAGATACCTTCCCTTGGCTTCAGAATTGAATTTTGAACTGAAGAATAGAGTTTTCCCTCAGGTTGGATATGGGGAGTTACTTGAAAGAGCCTATCTTGGGTTCCCGTTATAATTTTGACAAGTAATTTTCACTCCCACAGCAATGTTTTTTGTTTTCAGTTAGTTTTTCTAAAGCATAGTCTTTCTAAAGTTTCATTTATTTAATTTATTGTTAAAGTGATGTACAGAGGGGTTACAGCTATATAAGTAAGGTAATAAGTACATTTGTTATCATACTTGTTACTCCCTTCTCTCATTTTTCTCCTACTTTCCCTCCCCCAACCCCTCCAAGTTGTACAGATCATTTCCAACATATTGTCTTGTGAATATCACTGTTGCATTGGCTCCCCCCTTGTCCTTTGTCTCACCATTCTAATTCAGATAAATATATATACAATACTGGGGTACCAATGTCAAATACAGTGACAATGGGATAAGAATCATAGGGGGAAGAACATTCAAAAGAAACAAGAAATCACATAGTACATTAAAAAGAACAACAACAAAGAAAAACGTCTTGTGTCCATGTCTTGGAGTTCATTTCACTTAGCATCATCTTATATGGTCATATGTACATAACTATTGAGCCATTCTGCTCATCTGCTAAGAGTAACCTAGATGTATAGTAATTATTAAAGCATATTCTTTTTGTGTTTGTGACTTTCTGTTATACTTACGGTGATATATCTATATACAAAGGCTTTGTGTATGGGTAGTGGTTACTGAAGACTGCTATTATCTTTCCATTGAAAAAGAGCTCTTTTTAAGAGGCAGAAGTTAGTCTTGCTTATCTGAGATTGGTAGTGGGTGGAGGAGGTAAGTTCCCCTTCTTTTGTAATACAGTTATCACTGGAGTCTAGCATGAATAGTATTCAAGATAACTCTGCCCTTACTAAGACTTGGAAGTGATATTAGTCTTTGATTTATAAATTTAATATCTGCCTAGCCATAAAGTATAAAGTATTTCCAAGTGACCAGAGCATCTTGGAGACCAGAGAGATCTGAGATTTGTTCCTTCTGCTAGTTGTTTCATGTGTTCCAGTAAAATGCACCACAGAATCCTAAGAAACTATCCAGATTGTTGTGTTTACTGATGATAGTGCCTAATACTCTGTGTTAGCATTTGGTTAGTTAAATGAATGCACTGCATTTTTACTTAGATAGGAAAGAACAAAATGTGAAGACTGGATCTGGGACACAAATATACAAGATACTTGGTACAATTTCTGGGGTAAGATCAAAACTGAGGTAACATTTTTGGGGGGGCTAGAGAATTAGAAAAGGTAATGAATGGAAAGTAGTTTCAACTAAGGCCAGAAAGGGTCTGTGATTATTTGGATTTAGGATCAGAAGTCTAGTCACTGGACATTACCTCAGGTAAAAACAATGCCAGTGTGGCCACACCAGGATATGTAAGCAAAGCCATCATTCAGGCAAATTAAACCTCTCACTTACGCCAGAGTAGCTTTTCTTCTTTTTGACTTTCTATCACACCCTTAATTCAGTCTTTAGGACTAGGCCACTGCTTTCTCCAGCATTAATTTAATTACTTCTTCTCCCGAGTCCTGTTATTTCTCTCCCATCATTTAGCCCAGCTAAATATGGTCTCCTTCCGAGTGATGAATGGTCACCAGTTCACCACCTTTTTCTAGAAGAAAAGGTAGTTCAAGTTCCAGACAGTAATAAGTGCAACTCTGTCAACCTTATATATGTGAGCTCTCAAACAATAAAAAGCAAGGAGGAAACCTTTCTGCAATTGATCTGAGGACAGAATATAAATTACTGTTCTAAGCATACATCTCATGCAATAAGAACAGATATCCAGAATACAGACCCAAGAAAAGAAAGTGATGTGAGACTTTATTGATTTATTTATTTATTGTCGGTCATGGGGCTGTCCCTCAGCTCTTCAGCTCAAGGCAAGCACTCCACCACTTGAGCCAACCACCACTTTGGGCTTTTTCTGCTTATGTGGTGCTGAGGAATCCAACCCAGGGCCTCATGCATGCAAGGCAAGCACTCTACCACTGAGCCACCTTCCCAGCCTGATGTGAGACTTTTAAGAAGATTTTTTTCAAGCTTGACGATAATGTTTAGCTACAGAGTAACTGGAGCACTCCTAATTTCCTGTTTGAATTTTCTGAGGGCTTCATTGCAGCAACTAAGATAACATCTGTAAGTATTTGTTATTACTTTCTCCACTTTTTAGTTTTTGGAAG